GAAAGACAGGGACTTGAGGATGCTGAATGCACTATTCAAACTCAAAAGGATTTTTCAAGTGACAATGTTGCAGAGGAGGAGACAAAAACCCCCAAGATCTAGACAAAATTCAGGCTTGAAAGTAGTACAGAAAAAAATGTGAATTTGTTTCTTTGCTTGACTCCATCTAAACACAATCCAGTCTGTTTACATATATTTGGTATGAAGGTTTGCTTGTAAGGGAACATTTTTGTCAACTTTTCCCAGATAGCATGAAAGTCTTACTACTTAGAACCTGTGTGGACAGAAAGAACACGCTTTCAGCATAGAACTATCACCCAGGTCTATACTTATCTTCTCACTCCAACTCTGAAAGGACTAAAGAAAATAATTTCCTCTTGAAACTCTTATCAGATAATAATAGGATAATAACAACTCAACCAGGAAATAAAACAGAAGAACTGATAAAAATAATTTCAAGTCCCCAGATCAACACTGTATGTTCAACAAACCTCACAACAGTCAGATGTTGAACCCCATCTCTTTCTGAATTACTGTATATTGATTTCATAAAACATTGTGGAAGAAAAACCTGACTATACTCCAAAGGATGATTCTGACAGCAGAATGCACAGTCTGTTCACCTGTTATAATTAGGATGGAAAAAGGAAAGCAGTATTGGTCAAAGAGACCTTTTACATCTTTGAGAGGCAATTCACAGTTGAGATCACTTCAAGAATTTGCATTGGTGGTTGTTCTTGGATAAACAGGTTAGCTCACAAGGACTCCCTTTATATGTACATACTGTTGCTAGCACCTAGCACTCTCTCATTTCAGAACTCTCTCTATATAAAACAATGTTCTTTTGTGCCATTGCTCTTCTGACATTACAACAAAGCCTCCCAACCTTGTGCTAAGCACAAATGCATTTATCATTGCTTTGCAATGCAAATATATCAATGGACAACAAAAGCACTTTCAAGGAGACAAAAGGAAAACACTTATTTCCAGTACTCTTTTCTATGAAAGAGAAGTATACTTGCAGTGGTGTAAGTAGTTTGTTATTTAATTACTTAAATATTTTCCTTTACTTCAGAATAATCACTGAACTAATTTCATAATTGATATATAAATATTTCGAAATAATGAAATAATGAAGAATTCCCATCCTTTGTCCAAAAATGTTTAATAAAATTAAAATGTTGATCCAAATTCATGCTATTCCTCTGCAATGTTTGATGACAGTTAAGATGACTAAACTGCAAACAAATTAAGAAATACCATGTTGTATTTAGTAACTTTACCCATGGTTTACTGAGTTAAGAGTTTCCCTTGAAACTGCAATAGCATAAACTGATAAATACATTAGCAAAGACCTGTGCAGGCTTTATTTTCCAACGTCTGGAATTGACAGTCTTATTTTTTTAATCCAAACAAAATCCCTGTTTTACACTTTTTTTTTTCCTGATTTTTCCTAAGCTCTGCACTACCTGCAAGTTAGTGACATTTTCCCAGTAATCTTCTTTTCAAAATCTATTTTAAAGGTTTATCAGTACAATGTTTATGAAAGCTCAGAACTCTGCTCCTGACTATTCTGTTTAAGACTGTAATGCTAGGAGCAGAACAAGGGTATGGCTCAGGATTTAAAAGTACACTAACTCACACAGAAAAAATTAGTAGAAAAATACACCATTTCAAAACTGGCACCTGCAAGAAGACAGTCAAATTTGTCACTCAGTAGTGAATGCTCCAATTAATTATGACTATTTACCATATTTCCTACACAAATTTCTTATACTTGGAACAGACTGGGAAACATCAAAAGTATTAAAAATAATTATTTTGAGACAAAAGAAAAATAAATTAAAGTTGTCTAACAGAGATTTCTTCTGTTTGAATTTCCCCCTTTCACTTCCCTCTTTCCTCCCAGATTCCTTTTGACTCGAAATCCCATGAACCTGCCATTATGTTCACTAAGTTTTGCAAGAAGAGCTGCCTTGGTATTTTTGATCTCTGCCTCCCCCATTCATCCATTCCTCATGGTCCATTTATCTCCTGTTACATGCTCACATAATCCAGAATAATAATAATAAAGAAAACAAATAGAAATAAGCCAAGATTTATTTTTTTTGTATCACTACAAGTGACTAGGTCCATGTCTTTATTATTCAATAATGAAAAGGCTCTTCTGTAAAGCAAATCAAAAAAGAGATGCCATGAATTTAAGTATAAGAAACACTGTTGAGTTCCCTGACATTTAGAGAGCTGAAGTTTCAATGCTGACTAATACAGAATAAATAGATATTTAAAACTCTCAATAAGGTACAGCGTGAATCAAGACACCTAACATAACTGTAAGCTCATCTATTTTGAAATTAAGTCCTAATAAGAAAGAGATTTAGGTTCTGATCGTCCAAATCCTACTGCTGACACAGGAGCAAGCTGAAAACCTCCCCTCCTCATACTTGCACTTTCTATTAACAATCTATATCTAACAACACAATGCACTAATTAAAAAATCTGCAACTCCTGAGGGAGGCTCTGAAGACTGCCCTGATGACCAGCTGGCCAGAGATACCAGGGTAAAAGGAACTATTCCTCTGAGTGACTTTTTAACACTTGCCTTCTATGATGATAGATTTTAACAAAAATTGAACTACACACTTTTTTGTAGATTTGGCTCTCCCCTTCTGCTCAACAAGGTGCTTCCTTGTTTTCTGAACAGCATGTGATTCTCATAATATTCCCAGCAGCTTTCTAGATACTCATCACAACTAACCAGTTTATGAGTAGAACATTTAGATATGTTTAAAATTATTTCTCCATCTTAAACTCCAGACCTGACTCAAACTGGTTCTAAATCACCTCATGTATTTCACAACCTTCATCTGATTTAGGTGCTTACACTAGTGCAGGAAGCATGCTTGAGTCCACTTAATATTAAATAAGCTTGCCCCACTGCTCCAGCTCAAGGAATACATAGTTAAAAATAAGTCAAATCATTTATATGAACACCTTTTGTGAAGTTGATACACCTTGCAAATACTGAATAGGTTTGGTTTTGCAATGGACCCAATACAATTAGTAGGTCATAAGTAGTTAATCACCTTAGAAGATAAGACTACTACAGAAAAAGCTGTGTTTCATGAAAGCTGATCATGATAAAACTATTAAATTTCACACTGATAAAAGTTAAGAAGAATTTCCCTTACGGTTACAGGAATCATTCCTTGAATTTACAACAACAATAAAAGAAGATACTCCATTGGTTTTGTTTAAATTAATTCTTAATTAACCCCAGACTGTCATATTTATAAATGTACAAGTGCTCAGGCCTGTCTCTGTGTGCAATGTGTGGGAAACCTCTGTCCAGAAGCTTGATCTGGTGCATCCCTACAAGTAACTGAGAAGTCACGCGTGAGAACTAAGGTAACACAGAAGTGGGAGTCCAGGAAAACCAGAAAAAACTAAGGCAAAAAAGGGAAGCCATGAAAGAGAGAATTATTGTCCTGAGAGGTGGAAACGAAGGCAATGAACCTATAGCAAACTATAGGCTTCCTTAGTCTCCACTGATGTTGAACAAATTCTTTACAATTAGTTTCAAACCCAAAGTCAAGCTTCAAATTTAGAAACAAATTAAATTGATTGAATTAAGACAACAAGGCAGACATATGTCTATGCTACAGTGTTATGGAGTGTTACAAGTTGTGTTTGCACTCCTTCATCATCACAGTTAACAGGAAACAGACATTTACAGTAAGGGAAAATGGATCTTTACTAGGTATTTTGTTATCCTGACATCCTTAAGCATTGAACGTTCACTTTCTGATCACAAAACTATCAGGATTCAGAACAGTGAAAAAGAAAAAGACCCAGGCTCCAACATCTGGGTGGGGGCAGCAAGGGAATCTCACAACAGCATTACTGCTGCTCTGTATGAAAAATGTTATAGAACACTTCATGCATGTCAAATTTAACAACACACATCACACACAAAAAGTTAGAGTTTCCAAATTCACAGCTACGCACTAAAGTCTTCTCTATTTATATGAGGCTATTATAGTATATTGTTCATTCTAGCAAAAAAACCAATTAGATTTAAAATTTGAACACTGCATGGCCTCCAGGCCACAGTTCCCCCAATGGCATGTGCAGCCAAAGGTGCTAGAAGAGAAGTCTGACGATAATTCCCTGCAGGTCAAATTTAGAAAATGCAAAACTACAGAATGTTCATTCAGTTCTCTTGTGTGTAAGCTTTATAACAGAGTCTTTAACTGTATCCTCAATCTGGTATTTTCATTCAAGATCCCTGCTTTTAAGCATTTTGCAGAACTGACTGACTTCACTTAATCAGCAGTTTTTTTGAACGTTCAGTTGAACATGACAACAAAAATGTGGCCCCAGGAATTTGACTTACTGTAACCTTTTGAACCTCTTGAAGGGAGGTTCAGGATTTTTATTTTTTTCTTTCCTTCTGTGCTCATCTGTTCAGTACATACATGAAACTTTAATGAGCTTAGTAAAAAACGTGCCTGTAAGGTATGCAATTAATATACAATTTTGGCAGTGGAGCCAAGAAAGACAGATTAGTTTAAAAAGCATTATTACTTCCTAGTCCCTGCACTTTATTACAATTTTAGAGGGCATTACGAACTCAAAATTAAAAATCCAGTTCCCATGTACTTTATTTTCAGCATAATGTTTGAGACAAACCCTGTGGTGACAAATCAAGAATGTAGACCACAGTTTCTCATACTTTCTTGTGTACACAGTAGAAAGCAATTATTTTCAGCTCCATTTAGTTTGCTCCTTTAATTTATTGAAGGTCCCCTCAAGCAGTTCTTTGGACCTAATATGGCAGAGGAGGAAAATGCAGTAGAGAAGAATGTCTCGATCAAACACTGCTGCCAATTACATGTAATTCCAGAGGAGAAATATTTGTGTGAAAATTTTTGTTTAAGTGATGTACTTAGCATCACTGAGAAATTCCATTGAAGAAGCAGGGACAAAATCCAACTCACCATGGTAGGCTCTACTTGCAAAAATCTCCCTTCTCTCCAGCATGCCCTATCTCATGTTGGTGAAGCAAATGAGGCAGGCATCTACACTAGTAAACCACTTTCTCCCTAGAAAAAGGATAGAGAAGCCAGTAAGTAAATGGCAATTTGCAACAGCTGATAGTCATCTAAACACCACTTATTTAGCAGATGTGCTGTTCAGTTCACTGTCCTTACCAAGGTTATTAGCATAAGTATCTTCCATTTAAGTCTCACAATGGGTCACACTATGTTATTACAGAATGAACTGCTCAGAAAAATAAAAGCAAAGAACTAAGCCCAAAACTGAGCTTCTGCAGGGACAGATAAACTGCTGTGGCAGTCAGACATGGCAACGATATGGATGGTTTTAGGAACTTATTTAGCTTCCAAGCTTTAAGAAGCGCAGTTGAAGATCCATTGAGTGAGCAACACTGCATCATCCATCAGGCTGGATGTTGCTACAGGCAATAGGCATGCTCTTAGCTTGTTAATATTTTTAGTTGGTTCCTTTGGTTGGTTACACTTAATTGTTGTCAACCAGAAAGCAAATTACATTCTTGTTTTCTTTGCAAGGCCCTTATGCTCAGCATTTCAAAGCAACTAAACGACAGATGCTAATATGGGGGGTGGAGGGGATGTTTTTAGCTACTTACAGCACTGAGGTAGGTAGGCCCCTATTTCTAATATGCTTACCTCTTTAGGAAGGCAGGAGGCAGCTGTCCAGCTGAGTTGACTTCTGATTCTGAAGCTCTGCAGTATCATGTGCCTGTGAGAATGGAGAGAAGACCAGAACACATTTTACTCCAAAAGAGACACTCTTAAGTACTGCTCTGCATTCATTTCATTCCCACTACACACACTGACCCTGGAATCCTACTCTGTAGCAGTATTATGGAGAAACAATTTCCTCCTTTCTTCCAGCCTTGACCCTCTCCAAGATTGTTATAAGCATGTCAGTATCTCATGTTGAGATCACAACAGCTTTTCCATCAAGAACTTCAGCCAGATCCCAATCCAGTTCTGACTAAACACAAAAACATGGATTATCTAACAGCTGATTTTATTTAAAAAATGTTAATATGATTTTAAAAAAAACCAAACAAACCCAACAACAAGAAAGCATTGTGGATTGCTCTAAAAGAATCCTCAGTATTGATTATGAATTGTCAACTCAAATGGTTTAATGACCTATATGATTTTGCTTCCTGACTGGACATATGAGCCTGTTGTAGCTTGTCTAGCTTTTTATCTGGTTTACCTGTCAAGAGAGCAAAATGAGCACATTTATTCTTTTAAAGCCTGTTTGGTGATACTCTGCCCAAATATCAACCTTTCTGACCCTGACTGAAGTCTGCTTCTCTGTTCATCTAAATACCATTACTCAAGGTCTGAAAATATTTTATCTTGTAAGGGTTTTTTTGGCTACTATTCTTACACTTGTTTTCTCCCAATTTTTTTAGGTTTTTGTTTCTCCTATTTACAGCATATAATGCTTTCTTCTCTATATATAACTTGCTTTTTCTTAACAAATGTATATGTATATTTACCTGTATATTTATGTAAGCAAATCCACATATTTGTTAAAATTTTTTTTAAATAAAAAGACAGACAATCTCTTTTCTGTTTTCCTTTTCCACTCTCTCAGCTTATTTTTCCTAGTATATGCTCTCTCACAAATTTATTTCAATATAACAACTTTCAATAGCTCTTTTTAAAGCCATTAAAACACTGCTTGCTTTTCAGGTTCAGAGGAACTTTCACCTGGTTAACTCATGTCAGCCACCTAGAACACTGTCTAAGCTCACTTTTCTGTGCAATTGCACTGAAATGGGAAAACAGCTATGGTAGGCTGACCTGAAAGAACTAATATCCTCCATATTCTTCACCAGATTATTTGGCAGGGATGGTGGTCACAAAATAACATCTTTAAGGTGTGAAAACTGACGAGGCAACTTCATGCAGTCAGGTACTTAAATACCTGTTTTTATAAATGTCTACTGAAGTCCAGAAGCAAAGCTGTACTTTGTATTTTTGACTAAAAGTTCACACCTTTGGTTCCCAACATTTTAAGAAATAATCCATAATGCCAAATTTAGATAGTTTTTTTTAAGAGATCGTCCAGATACTTTTTTCACTCTTGCCAAGGTCTTAACTTCAGACTTCTAGATTGAAACATTACCCAAACTTCACTTCAATCTCCCTGTAGATTTTACATTGCTATGTGCAGATTGTACAAGCACACATAATTATGCTAGAATTCTTGTAGCTGAAAGAATGATGCTCAAGATCTCTGGGTTTGTCTGACTCCTCTCCACCACCACCACTTCACTCACAACACACACTGCAGTCACACACACAAATCATTGAGAACAAGTGGTGCATCAGTAATGATGTTGGTGGAAACAAAACAAGAACCCAAGCTTGCTGTGCTGTTCTGATGCCCTCACATTCTGCTGAA